TAAGATACTGTTTGGTTTTTATTTTAGTTTATTCTTTATAAAAATAACTTATTAGTAATAATGATAAGAAATGTATTTATTTCGCCCGTTAAAATACATAACAGTCGTTACAGAGAGTAAAAGTATACAAATCATGAAAATCGCACAGTTCATTTACAATTATTATATAAAACGTGATGAAACATTGCATATCTGTATTGTGAAATTGCCAAGCAGGGCTGCAAATAACGGCCGGTCAACGGACAATGTCTGGCCTGATCGCGGACTTGACTGGTCAAACTCCGGTCTCGCCGGTCATTTTGATCCGCCATTTTTGGATACAACCACTTTATTTTCGATACAGGTGTCGCTTAATGCTCTTAATGCAAGGTAGAATGTAACATTAAGACGTGCGGAAACCGCGGAAAGGAACTCTACAACGTGCGAATGCATTTTTCACCAATTTGCTGTCAAAAATGTGAACGTCAATGTAGTAATAATGATCTATTGCCAGCATAATTGGATATTCCTTAGGCAAAAAAAAATTATTAGTATTCATTATTTGACCGGCCAGAATCGGGGTTTGTCCGGGCTGAAAAATATTTGGCCGGTCATCATGACCGGCAACCTGCTGTCCCTTATTTTCAGCCTTGCCAAGTTGTATTGAAACCTTATTCTATAAAATAGCAATTCTTAAAACTTTCTGTATTAATCCGTGGTAATTGACTTGTTTGTGATCTTAACTTCTTGGATGACTCTGACTTTCGGCAAAAGGCCATATAATGGATGGTTAACATTGTTCTTAATTTTGGTGAACAACCTGCAGTCACACTTCTCTAAAAGGTCATAGATATTAATTAACTCAGAAGTGTAACGTCGCTTATTGCACCTTTTTAAAAAACATTATATGGTGTTTAAATCTACTTGGCTGGCTCCATATACTGGAAGTGTGCATGTGATCTTTGGCAGAACAATAGCCTTAAAAGAGATGATCTTTACCTGCCTTTATCCATCTTTTCTTCGTGATCTTAAAATGTACACACACTTGTTTGCTTCCCGAAGCTTTCCCTTAACATGAGATGAAAACTTGCAGTCGTTCTGTAATGTGACACCTAATAGGGTGAAACTGTCACTCTGTTCTATGCCACATAGTAGGGGAAAGTCAGGTGTGACACCTTTTTTAGCCATACAGAGTTCTTTGCATTTGCTTGTGTTACAGCTCATACCATTAACCTCTGTCCACTCCAAAAATGCATTCAGTGCCTTTTGTGATTCATCTACACTATTCTTACGCACGGTCACAAGAATAGAAGTGTCGTCTGCATACTTAGTAAGATCGCTATCCTGGCAGTACAGAGCGACGTCAAGATCGTTTAAGAACAGGTTAAACAAATAAATATCCCTGAGTAGTACCGCGGTTGACATCCTTCCAATTACAAACAGTGTTATGAAAGACCATTCTTTGTTTTCTCTCTGACAAGAAGCTGACGTACCAGTTGACAATGTATGGGTTGAAAGGGCTCTGTGTTAATTTCTCTATTAATAAGTTGCACTTGACTCTGTCAAAGGCTTTTTAGAAATCTATCGTAAACAGCCTGACTGCTTGGTTATTGTTGCTATCTAAAGCTTGGAGAAATTCATGCTCTATTTGAAGAAGCGCGTTTGTACAACTACCTCCCGTTCTGTATGCAAACTGGTTGTTATTCAAGTAACTCTCCACACCTTTTGTACTTCTGTTCTGTGCTTCTGGGCGAGCGGGCGAGCGCTAATGTTCAACCCTGCTTGGGGGACCCCTGCCTTCAACGGAAGTGGCTCAGATAGAGAATCCTCTATCTTGACAACTTGCATACGCTGTGATAAGTAGCTCGGAAACGAAGAACACGCAGCAAATGAAACGCCTAATTTATGGAGTTTGTTAATTAACAGATCATGACGGATACTATCGAATGCTTTCGACATGTCTAGCAAGACGATCACGGATATTTTCTTGTCGTCCATGTTCTTCAGCAATTCGTCAGTGTAGTGGAGTAAAGCCGTTTCCGTGGAATGAAGTTTTCTGTTCCCACTTTGTGAGTGATGTATTATGCCATTTGAATCTAAGAAATCCCTAAATTGAGAGAGTGCAGATCTTTCGCATACTTTAGAAACAATAGGCAATAATGATACAGGACGTGTGTTGGCAGGATCTTCATAGTCACCAGACTTTTGGATGGGAATAACTTCAGCCATTTTCCAAGCATTAGGAAAGGTGTTATGAGAAAACGACCCATACACGACTTTCATAATGGCGGACCGCTCGGGCGGAATGGTAACTACTAACATCAGAGCGAGGCTAGTTAGGCCACGTTCAATTATGAAAAACGTAAACACATGCAAATGCGTTCCAAATCTCTCTCGTATGTAGCCTGTTTTTTGCTGTATCGTCGAACGTGATAATGTGAAAACGTAATCGAGTGTTTTTGTTTATCTGAAATCGAAATTACTCAGATAATTGCCATGCCCACGCACTGCTGTGTTCCCGAGTGTACCAAGAAAGGTTGTCGCGAGGAGGATGGCAGGGAAGTCTCGTTCTTCAAGTTTCCTGATCATGTCGGTCGCCATAAACAGTGGCTTCACGCCATCAGAAGAGAGGAAGGAAAACATCTTCGGATCACGAAGGGAACCAAGGTCTGTTAGAGACATTTTAGGCCGGAATATGATTTTGTAAATACCCTCGCTGGCAGAACAGAGCTGCGAGGGAATGCTGTTCCTTCAAAGTTTGCGTGGACTCGCACCTCTCCCCGGAAACGTAAAGCGCCAGCAGTACGCGAAAGCATCGATGAAACAAGACGGAATTCTTTTTGAAGAAAGCTGAATGAATGACGAGCCAGAAAACTCAGAAAACTGCGTAGATGAAAGGGAAAATCGTATAGAAGAAAGGGAAACTGTGGAAAGCATCCTGTCTGAAAACTTGAAAATGGACGCAGAGACTCAAACCACAGAACCAAAGGAAGGCACTGTGACCTCGCTGACACAACAAATAGTGGACCTTGAATCCAATCTTGAAAGAGCTAAGCAACGTATTGAATCTTTGTAAAACCAAGTTTTCACTATTGAAAGATTTCAAAGCAGTGATTCGTCAATCCATTTTTACACTGGATTTCCAAACTGGAAGGTATTTATGTATGTTTTTAGATACCTGAATCCTGGTGATATGGGTGAAAACATCACATACTGGTTGTCTTCAAGGAAAAATGTATCTGCCAGCGTTTATGAGGAGGTGGCAGCTAATGGAAGCAAGAAAGGCAGAAGTAGGTCATTGAGGCCTATTGACGAATATTTCCTTGTGATGTGTAGACTCAGACAAGGCTTTCCTGAGGAGCACTTAGGTCATCTGTTTGACATATCCACTTCAACAGTTAGTCGGATTTTTATCAGCTGGATAAATTTCATGTATTTGAGGCTAGGCCAACTAAACATTTGGCCAACAAGGCAAGTAATTAATGAGACAATGCCTGAAGATTTCAAGCAAAAATATAGTTCTACAAGAGTTATTATCGACTGTACAGAGGTGAGGTGTCAAATGCCCAGTAGTTTGCATTTAAATGGGGAGCTGTTTAGCAATTATAAACACCACACAACCCTGAAGGGATTAATTGGCATTTCTCCTGGGGGTGCAATAACCTTCATCATCCAGCTGTATACTGGCAGCATCTCTGACAGAGAGATTGTTGTCAGAAGTGGATTGTTGGATTTGCCATTGCAAGATGGAGACTCAGTCATGGCCGACAAAGGATTTACAATCGAGGACTTGTTACCTTTAGGAGTTTCCTTGAACATTCCTCCCTTTCTTGGCAGCTCAAATAAAATGCCAGCACAAGATGTTGTTCGCACTCAGGAAATTGCAAGCCTGCGAATTCATGTTGAGCGTGCCATAAACAAAATCAAGAATTTTCACATTTGGGATGGAGTTGTGCCCCTCCATCAGTTTGGGGTTGTCAATCAAATGTGGGCAGTCTGTGCAATCTTATGTAATGCTCAACCAAACATTATTTCTATTTGAATAAACTGCGACCAGAACTATTCTTTGAATATCACTATAACATTAGCTTTAAGTGGTCCAAAATTATGTACATGTGTAGACAACCGAATACCCAGGGGCTGATAATATTTTGTTATTGTTGTTGTTCAGTTTGTAAAGTGGCTATTACTCCTACCGGTCTCCACTCACATAAGAAAAAAGATGTGATCCAATTTAAAATTGTGTGACATTTTATTCCTGTGTATATCAGCTCAAAATCAAACCAGACAGTTTCCCTGCTATTGGCAGTCAATATAAATATTTCCTCAGTTTTTTTTATTCAAAAGAAATAACATTGTGGTGCCATGCATGCTTCTCATTACATTTTTCATTAAAAAATATCAATTAACATGTGACTTACATCTACAGACAGTGTAAAAAATATTTTTTTGACAACAATTTCTGTCCTATGATCAACACTACAATTCCCTGTACTGCACAAATATGTACACCATTAAGCAAGGGAACTGTCTTTAAATCTAAAATAGTCTCATAAAAAGGAACAAGCACATGGACAAAAGTAAGAACAACTAGTGTATTGGCACAAGGGTGTGGAGAATCAATCTCCTCCCAGTTACAGTGCAGCTACTCCAACTAAGACCACCCAACCAAATTCTGCCAGTGGAAATACTCGAATGAAATCCTGCAGTGCCAACAACAGATTTCCCACAAATAATAATTTTATGCAAGTTGTGTGCTTCAAAAGTAATAAATTGGAACCATTTGTATTGCTTTCGCACTCTAATACTATTGGACAATTTGGAAAGCTTTTTCTTGGGTGGCCTTGTTTGGAGTAGTGATACTGTAACAAGACATAAGTAAATTAATTACTGAATTGGCACCAAAAAAGTTGAAAAGCCTACAATATATACAATCAAAGGGCATTGAATAGCTAATTATCTACTGCATTTTTCTGATAGTCCTCAGCAGCAAACTTAATGAAGTGTAAAAAATAGTAAGTTCAAAGTTCAGTTTGTAAGTTTCTCCAGTAGCCAGGATCAAAGGCTATCCTCTCCACATACAGTCCCTTGCTGGTATAAACAATGAAATCACACCACTTGCTTCCAGTTATCCCCATTTGTCCTTGCACTTGTGCATAGTATGTGTGATCCCTTTTCAGTCTGCACTCTTTGTCATTTATTTTCTCCATAAAAAAATTGGGATCAGAGCATGCATCTAGGGGTGTTACATGGAACTTGGTGTAGGGACACTTTACCTCTCCCAAACCAAAGCAATGTACACATCCTTTATTCACAATTTTTGCATCAGGCGAGGCACCTAGTACTGGACAACTTTTTGATACGACAAATCCACTCCTTAAAACAGCTACTGGTGTTTTCTGGTTGAACATGAATTTCTGATACTCTTGATGAGCGATGGGTTCATACTTAATGCCATGGGCAACATATTTCGAGGAAAATGGCTTTGGATGCATGATGGACTGTGCATAGGTATCATGATTCCTTTTCCTCTTGGTAATCGCTTGGAAGTTAGAGGCAGTAAATCGATAGGTGCGTTCTTGCTTCCACATTTCAGATGCTGATTGATCCCTTGTTTTGCTTTCGATTTCATGGATTTTGTCTTTATCCACATTTAGAGTAGACAGCAAGTTCTTCTCAGAATCTGAGAGCTCCCGAGGTGTGCTGGTCATGTCCTCCTCATTTGTCATAGGAAAGCGAGGAACTGAGGCTAGATTCGCTTGAGCAGAGAAATTCGATTCTGTGAAAAAAGTTTGATAACTCAAGAACGACCCAACAGGACTTTTGTCAAATTTGGTATCACCCAGTTCAAAAGCTAGGTTTTTTTCTTTGTTCATATGAGCAAAACCCAAGTTTTGATCAATTCCTGAAAGTTCAGATTTAAAATCCTTCTCTCTTTCCAGATCATGTTGTGGTTGTCTTCTGGCTTCATACAATAAGCATTTCACACCACCGCCACAACGTGAGGTGCTTGGTTCATCCAGTTTTGCCTGTTTTACCACAACCTCCATGACAGGTTGAGCTACTATATTTTCGCCTCCACCTTTCTTGTTCCAGGATTGAAGCTGGGAAGTACATGCTACTTGCGGATTCTCGTCTGCGTCTTTTTGTAAGTCCCTTGTAGTTTTAGCTTCATATAGACTGAATTTGCAAAGTTTCAGCATTAGCGCCGATGTGTGATTACAAAATCCCGCTTTTCCAGCCACACAGGTACAAGTGGAATTGAGAACGTCACCCTTAACAATACACAAGGCCAATTTTAGCTGATGCGGCGGTTCGTTTTTCCTGTAACTGTAGCAGCATTTTGCTTTGAAATAAAAGCAGTTTTCATGATTTCGTGAAGATATTCATCTTCAAGAAACGTCTTTGCTTTCCGAAGTGTTGTTGGCACAGAATGGTGATGAATATTTCCAATGTTCTTACCCGATCTTGCAATATGTTCGTTCATTTCTGCTTGGGTAAACATCGGCATTTTTTCCAGCGAATTACCCCATCCACTTTCTGAGTAATTCACAACATCGACCTTAGCGACCGGATCTGTATTCAATGAATCTGCGATCTGCTGTTTTCTCTTGGTATATAATCCGGTCGGCTCAGGATCGACGATGGTTTTGTCTCTTCCAGAGGTAATATACTCTTCAACTCTGAAAATAGAGTTACATGTCAAGCGAAGGAATTGAAAAAATAAATTTTGTCGAGAAAAGAATAGAAGTAAAAAAACCGATTGCATCGTAAACAAACCGATTGCATCGTAAACAAACCGACTCCTTACCTTTTCACAAGCTCCACTTTCGTCTTAAGTCCCTTTGCCCGATCACCTCTACACCGTAACCAGAACTTCAACTCATCATTTTTAAGTTCAGATGGTTTTCGTCCATGCAAAGAAGCACCAGGGATATCCTCTTCGGTAAGAACTGCGACGCATGTTGTCGAAGCGGTTGCCATGTTGATGACCTTTCTGGCCTAACTAGCCTCGCTGTGATGTTAGTAGTTACCATTCCGCCCGAGCGGTCCGCCATTATGAAAGTCGTGTATTAATAAGGTTGGTAATTATTGGGACAGTCACAGGTGAACTGTCTTTCTAAACTCTTGCAGTAACTTTATCGTATCCAGGTGCCTTATTAGATGGAAGATTTTTTATAATCTTCGAAACATCTTCCTCAGTAACGGAATGGAATCTGAACTTAGCACTGTCCTCATCGCTGATGCTAGTTAGATGAGTTTTTCTTTGGGATTACTCGGTTAATAATTTTCCAGATGGAGTTAGTATTTCCATTAGTATTTCGAAGCTCTGATCGAACGTGTTCCATTGCCGCGAATCTAATGTCGCGTTTGACTTCTTGGCGAAAGAAGCGGTATGCGTTCCAGTGTAGTTTGTCGCCTGACTTAATTGCGGTTTTATGCCAAGCATCACGCGTATCAGGAGAGATAAATGGGTTAGGCTTTGATTTTATCTTCATTCGCTTGATTGGAGCGTGATCGTTTAAAGCCTCAAGAAATAAGCAATTAAAAGCATATACTCGATCATCAAAATCATTGAAAAATTCAACCATATGAAAAGGGACGCATTCCAAATCGCTAAGGAACTTGTTTGTGTCGTAGTGTTTATAGCTCCTGGTAATAATATACGCGTAGCGGGACCTTGGTGTTTTCAATTTCATTGACATGCAAACTAAGTTGTGATCACTGATAGTGCACACTTTCACGTCGCACGAACTGATGATACTTTCGAATCACTGGGTTACACTGCACTCATGGGTGCGCCACCTAAAGTACAGCCTATGTTTGTAAGCTCTACCTAAAGAATCACTGGGTTACACTACACTCGTGGGTGCGCCACCTAAAGTACCGCCTATGTTTGTTAGCTTGACCTAAAGAATCACTGGGTTACACTACTCTCATGGGTGCGCCACCTAAAGTCCAGCCTATGTTAGCTCTACCTAACGAATCACTGGGTTACACTGTACTCACGGGGCCTAATGCTGGCGTTTGGCTTTCGCTGTCTTCAAAGAAAAAAACTACAGTCCAATTAAGCTTTGTTTTCCCTAAATGTTACACCATGAGCTTCAATACAAAGGTGCAAAGCTGTGCAAGAGATTATCAGCATAATTACATAGTACACAAACATTGTCATCTAACTCCCTTCACGTAGCCGGAATAAGCCAAGTAATGAAGCATATAATGAAAAATCGTCCTCAAATGGTCTCGATAACTAAATTATACTTAATTTTGCGAGAGAAACTTTTGTTTGTATCCGTGTTACCCATCGAAAAAGCGAGGAGTTATCGCACGACATTAGGTATAACAGAGGTAATACTCATGGGTTTCACGAGTTCTATGCACTATTTTTCGCCAGGAAACAAATTTCAATTCTTACCTTACAGTAACTGGTTCTTTACCTTGCATTCGACAGCAAGGTAAAGGCAAACAAAGCGATGAAATCCAACACTCTTCTTTCATAAATGACAAGCCGCACGAAGTAAAATCCACCGGTATGCACTGCATTCTCACAACAAATATAAACAAATGTCGTGGAGAAGAAACGACGAGGAGGAAAGAATGCCAGTTCTTGACCTCGTCAGTGTATTCCAGCTACCAAGCTGGCGTATCTCCAGAGGGTGGACTAACTCGAAGTGGGACAATCCTTGTGATTTTTTTAGAAGCCCTTTGCGCGCAAACTAATTTATTGTGGCACAAAATGAAGATTAACAAAATGTATACTGAAACGTAATACACGACAAGAAAATTCTCGCACTTTCGAGGAGCGTGACATATTAAATAGGATTAAGTAAGATTAGATTTTTAATCTCTCTTCATCATAAAGATATAGGGCACATACTGACACATACATGCAAGTATTGCAAATTACTCTATTATTATTATAATTTTTGGGTTCACACTAGGCACTAAGTCTGTCTTAGCCTAAATCAAGCCAAGTCACCCTAAGTCCGCTTAAGCGTGCAGACATATCTAGAAGACTAATTCTTTCCGTGCAAGCTGTCATCATTAACGATAAAAATAACAGATAAGGTAACTAACATCATAAATGTGGTGAGGTAGTCACGATCCATTTTAGCGAAGAAGTTGAGATCAAAATGAGACCGAGAAGCCGTAAAATCGCTGTAATTGTGACTGTTGTCTGTTTATTAAATTTACAAAGGTTGATCAGCCAAATAACCTTACAAAATCTTATGTTCCTTCGTGAAAGAATGATGGAAGATTTTGTTCAAGAGAGTGAAATCCTGCCTTTTCTGACCGCCCTACTTTTGAGCGTTCACCGAAGACGAGGCAATTTTCGGCACATAAGAAGAAAAGCGTGGGCCTGGCCAAGACCGCAGAACTGGTTTTATGTAATGCTAGCATCACCTCGGATGAATGTTCTTGGACACCAAACTTTCGAATGGAACGTGAAACGTTTGACAAGCTTTGCCAAATTCTTCGTGGTGATCTGACGAGACAGGAAAAGAGATTGAGAAAGCCTGTGTCTGTAGAGAAGCGTGTTGCTGTTGGTGTTTGGCGACTTTCCACTGGAAACAGTTATTGATCATGTGGACTGCAGTTTGGCCTGGGAAAATCTACAGCTAAACTGATATGTCAAGAGTTCGAGGAAGCTTTGTGTCGAAAAGAGGAGTTATTTATTTGATTCCCTTACAGTGAAGACGAAGTGCAAGAAGCGATGGACACCTTTGAAGAAGAATACAAGTTTCCCCAAATTGTAGGAGCAATTGACGGCTGCCACATAGAAATCAACGCGCCACCAGAGAACAAGGAAGATTACTTTAACAGAAAACAGTATTATAGCATCAACCTGCAAGGGACAGTGAACTCGTGGCTGCTTTTTCAACATGTAGCAGTGGGCTATCCCGGTAGTATTCACGATGCAAGAGTGCTACGACTGAGTGGAATTTTTGACCTTGCAGAAAACGAAGAAATTTTGTCAGCACGTACAAGAATGGTTCATGGGGGACTGTTGAGGCCAATGCTAGTAGGTGACAGTGCTTATCCTTTGAAAAACTGGCTAATAAAGCCCTTTTCAAACAGAGGGTGCCTATCGCCTCAGAAAAGACGCTTTATGAAAAATTAAGTGCAATGAGATCAGTGATCGAGAGCGCGTTCGGCTTGTTAAAAGGACGTTAGAGGCGTTTACTAAAAGAGATTGAACAGAGTCACACTTCCATACCGCGAAGCGTGACAGCAGCATGTGTTTTACATAATTTTTGTGTGATGCAAGAGGATTCATTTGATGATGACGACGATCGCCGTCCACCGGTCGATCAAATTGACGCAGACGAAGATGATGAAGCACAAGACGGATCAGCTACACACCAGACTATGCTAGATTATCTACTTTCTCATGGTGTACTTTAATTCAGCCACCTTCCTCATTGCACCATAGGACGCACTGTAATTCAATGGCATGACAATGTTTTTCTTTATAAAACGCACATTTATTGAGCTGGATTTTTTAAAATTTTCCATTTCTTTTTCCCAAAAGCTGTGTTACAATCAATAAAATGCTCAAAAAGATTGAATGCCTGTTACTCTACTATTCATGAAGCTTCTGCGAAGCCAGCTAGTTAACAACAACAGAACATGTAAATGTTCAAATTAATTGGCAATGCATGCAACATCTTTTTAGTCACTTAAAATGTCTTTTAGGCCTAACACGAGAGCCTTGGTCTGCTGTGTCTGGCTTTTTATAGCAGGCTGCTGAAGTTCCATGCTGCGGTTGAAGCGCTCGGCTTGCTTTTCCTTGGAAATATGCCACATGTCACATATTCCCTTCATCTAGGGGTCTTCATCTTGGTCATTTGGCCCCTTTCTCTTACACTTGGGGGCTTTCCCTTTTGTCTTTGGTGGGAGTTGCTGTGACTTCGGTGGTGATTCGTCTGAGGCTGAACTTGTGCTAGGCTGCTGAGAATCAGAACTCACGGATGATGATGAGTTTTCTCCCTCTTTCGAGACTGGTCCTGCTGAGGGAGACTTGTTCTTTGGAATGACCTTTGAAGAACTTATGGTCATGCGAGCAGGGTTAATAGCATCCCGTGTCCCTAGGATATCATCTAGTTCCTCGTAGAATGCGCAGTTACTTTGAAGCTTCTTAGCGCCCTCTTCTCCAGTGGAAGCCATTCTCGTTCTCACATGACGGTATTCATATTCCAGGTTCTTTATTCTTTTCTTGAGTTGATCCAGGTTTTTGTTTGATGACACCCCCAGATCGAAGCACTTGTCTTGAAATTTTTTTAAAATTTGACTCCACAGCCTTTTTTTTTGAGCGGCCGAAGCAGATTTCAGGGAATCGTAAAGGTCACCCCAAATCTCCAGCAATACGCTAGTTTCATCTCTGTTTCAGTCGGCCCTTGTGCGCTTAGACTCTTCTGAGTTCGGACTTGGGTCGCTGCTCAGCTCTGAAGGACCTGGAGGCGCTGGTGTGGGAGGCATCATGGGTGGATAGTGAGCTCCAAATGGTGACATAAATGGAGAAGCAGACCGACTAAACTGAGGCGGAGAAGCTGCATTAAAAACATGAGGCATTCGTGCTTCAGATCTTTTGGGAAATCGGCGAGGAATATGATAAGAAAAGAAAATGACACTTACGTAGGCCAATAAAAAAGTGATCAGGCCACGCAACTTGCGTTACATAAGGTGAAAAGTCGGTAGCGTAATTGCCTTCTAACGTTTCGTCCTCTCGTCCATGCATCTTCAGTTAATTTTGTTCGTGAGAAGAAACTGTGTCGTGATTTCTTTGCTTTTGGCGCCAAACACGGGAATCTCTATCTGATAAAACCCACGATTTTGAAATGTTTTTGCTATCAGGTTTCTTAAGTCAGCCTTAAGTCATGTTTGAAACGGACTTAAGAACTGCTTAGGTCGTTTGAGTTTGCCGACACTATGACAGAAATCACGCTTCTGTGACTTAGCGGTTCACACCTGTCATTTTCACTAAGTCGACTTGAACCCAACTAATATGTAAGCTCACGCACCACAACCATTCCACGGAACTGGGCAAGGTCTGCTGGGTTTTCTCCATTCACTTCTTCCATATCCTCTGTACTGAGTCGTGCCCAAAGATAGCTTACTGAGTGATCGTAAGTGCTATCTTACACATTCACCTAATCTAACAACTCAGACACATCACTCCTCACCACAGTTTCTTCCACCTCCAATACATCCTCAACCTGATTACCCACCTGAGCCAAGCCAGCTTATTCAACAGGACTTTCAGTCACAAGGTCTCCTATCACATTGACAGGATTTTCAACCAAACCCACCTCTAGATAGATAGATACATAGATAATCTTTATTTATCCACGGTACAAAATTCGTCAGCTTTAAAAATGCCTAATACTAATATAATAAAAATATTTAAATAAAAAATCTGCTTTCCACGAATGCCGTACCTTAACAGTTCTTTGAGTAATCATTTAAATTGCCTAAGGGACTCTGCTTCCCTTAAGTTATAAGGAAGACTGTTCCAGAGAATGGCGCCACTATAGCTGAAGCTGTTTTTGTAATATTTTGTGCGCGGTAATGGAACATTGAGTTTATTTTCAGAGTCCCTTAGGTTATATGCGACTTCTCGCCTTTCAAATTTAGAACTAAAATAGTTTGGAGCCAACCGGTGCAGAGACCTGTAAACCATCGTAGCTTTGTGAATTTGTTGCTGGCAAGCTAGGTTTTTCCACCCTAGAAGTTTGAAAAGGTGACCAGCATCTATGTCATAGCTTGAGTAGGTCAAAACATGGGCTGCTCTGTTTTGTAGGTTTTGAACTTTATTCTGTAAAGTTATCCCACAGTTTCCCCAAACAATGTTGCAAATATCAAAGTGTGGCTGTATCAAAGCTTGATATATTAGTTGTAAGGTCGCCTGGGGGACAAGGTGCCTTATTCGTTTTATGGCCCCAATACCAGAAGCGACTTTCTTTGTTACTTTCTCTATATGGCCACTCCAATCAAGTCTGTCATCGATGGTCACTCCAAGTGATTTTGCAGTAGTGACCTGGCTATCTTGAAAATCATTAATTGCAAATGTCGGGGACTCTGTGAGAGTACTTAGCCTCTGCCTAGATCCGATAAGCATAAATTCGGTTTTAGTCATATTTAGAGTAAGTTTGTTTGCTCTCAGCCAGTTGTGAACATTTCCTAAATCTTGATTTAGATGCAACTGGATATTGTCTGCATTATCACCTGCGTATGTAAGGTGGGTGTCATCAGCGTACATCCTTGGCTCACAATTTGAAAAACAGTTTGGAAGATCGTTGATGTATAACAGAAATAGTAGTGGACCTAAAATCGTCCCCTGGGGAACACCACAACTTAATAAACAGCTTTGAGAGAGCGATCCGTTGATGGAGCACATTTGGTTATGATTCTCTAAATATGACTTAAACCATTGGTGTGCGATACCATATATGCCGTAATTGCTTAATTTGATAAAAGGATCTCATGGTCAACTGTGTCGAAGGCCTTTTTGAGATCTAAGAAAACAACGGCGTTGATTTTACCGCGGTCAATATTGTACGCCCAAGTGTCCGTGGCCTCAAGGAGAGCCGTGACAGTTGAGTGAATAGCGCGAAAGCCTGATTGATATTTACAGATTATATTGTGCTCTTCTAGGTAGGCATATAATTGATCATAGACGATTCTTTCAAAGACCTTGGCCATAACTGAGATCACCGAAATTGGACGATAATTGTTTAAGTCATCCCGATCGCCTTGTTTAAAAAGTGGGGTGACCTTTGCGCATTTCCAGTCATCCGGAAATATGCCTTGACTTATTGACTGGTTAAAAATATCACGGATAGGAATGCAAATGAGATCTGCACATTCCCGAATGAGCCTATCAGATATCTTGTCAAGGCCAGCTGCCTTTGACTTATTTAGACGATTCAAAAGTGAGAGAACTTTATTTGTACTGGTCAGATGGAGCTGAAACCGTTTATCTGTGCCAGTGAGGTACTTTTGATAACCATCACTATTTGAGGAATCAATATTGCTGCCAAGTTCTGGACCGATAGTAGCAAAGTGATTGTTAAATTGGTTCGACAGCACAGTTGGATTTGTTATTGATACTCCATTTACTTTCAGAGATGCCACCGATTTTTTCCCAGATTTTCGCGAAGTAAGTTCATTGATAGTCTGCCAGGTCTTTTCCGTGTCATCATGGGTGCTGGACTGTGCTTCATTGATCTTCTTTCTCCGTGTTTTGTTCTTTTTCTTTCTCTTTTTCGCATCAACGGTTTGCCATTCGTTTTCAGGATTAGAGCTCTCATTAGACTGGGCATTATCACTCTTTGAATTTCCTTGAGGGGCAGTTACCTCGTAACTCTGATTCTTCTGTTGTTGACGCTCTCCTATGCTCATTTCCTGCCTAATAAGCTTTAATGCTAATTTTAGGGAGTCGTTTTCCTGTTCCGCGGACGATGCACGGGTCTCAAGAGACATAATTTTCATTTTCAGTGCATTAATTTCTTTATCTTTGTTGCATAATACCGCCTGTAGCTTTTCACACCTCCCTTTCTGTTTCATAAGCTCTTCGTTGCCAATATTTTCTTGATTTTGTGGATATCTCGATAAGGAACTTGTATTATCATCGACCTGCTTCTTTAATACCTTCAGGCTGTATTTTATGTCTCTCAGTTCAGCAAATGAAGAATTTTCTGATCCCGAGTCCGCTCCATTATCCGTTGTCTGTTGGTTTTCATTTTGGCTTGTGGATCGATTCGGCGAATCGGTTGTCATCTCCGGCTTGTCCTGAACCAGTTTGAACAATTTTTCTTTTAAAAACGGACCATCTTGTCCTTGGAAAACAAGAGTAAGTTGTTTCTTGAAGTACCAGGTTATAACAAGCTTATCATTGCAACTTTTGAATTGCTTATTATTTCCGCCGGGCGACGACCACTTTACTTGCTGCTGAAGACAATTTTCAACAAAATTCTTCGAGGATTCTAAGTCGCTTGCCCATATTAACCGCTCTCCGTTCAGCTGGAGGTATTGCCAATCAGAACCATCAAGTTCAAGCGGGTATAACTCAGTTGTCTGGCTCCCAAATGGCTTCGTCGTCAGAGCCAGAAATATCATGACCTTTCGCCATTTTCTCACACTCAGGAACACACAATGTTTGTTGCATCTGCTGCATTGGCTGGACTTTCAGCATGCACTTCACTGGTAATCTCATCCCCAGTTTGTGTTCTCTGTGGAAATGTTCCCTGCCATGCCTGTTGTAAAGTTCCTGGACTGCTTGATGAACTGTCAGGCTCTCAAACTGGCAAAGATGTAGACTGAGACATGGAAAGACCTTGTCCCTCGTCCTTCTCATACGCAAATCCAGTTACCCTCTGTAAATAAATCCACTTGTGCGCAAAATTGGAAAACATTGTAGTCTCCCACTGCACATAGTGTGGATCTGACGTAATGTTGTTTATTTTGTCTAAAGCAAAATAGCGAATGTTATAACTAAGTAGTCCAAATGGCATTCTATCAATTGGTAGCCTCGGACCAGTACAATCTTCTCTTGGGGTCCCAAGACCTTTGACCAAGTAATAAATGATGTTATCTTTCTCATTTTGGTGAATAACACTGATACCTTTGCAACAAAGTACTATAAAGTCAGATGGAACATATGGCAGCAAATCTTTATTGAATTCCAGAAACATTTATTGATAAACGAGACTTTGCAATAAGCCCTGACTCGTACGTGAACTCATCATTGCAAGCAGTTTTACCACTTTGGCAATCGAGTCTCCCAGCGATACCTGTACCCCAGTATCTCCGGAACTATTTGTGCTATGCGGGGAAAATGCCAGTACCGGTGAGAATGAGGTGTTTTTATCCTGTAAGGACTGTGGAGTCGAAGTTACAACAGGACTGGAAGCCTCCTCAGATGAGCACTCTTGGATTCCACTACTAAAACAGTTAATTTGGAGGTCCTCTTCTGCCTCTGCCAGTGTCTTGTGTTTTTGAAGATAAGAGTTTACCTGATGTCTACAGGCATTCCCTGAAAAAAAAAAAAAATTGACATCTGGCTTAGTGAATGAGCAAATAACAATGGCCAATAGGAAATGTTGTGCTCTGTTTGAGATTTACCACAAGGTCATAAAGAATTTCAATGCAAACGGAGATGGTTTTAATATCTCTAGAAAAAAAATCGTCATTCACTTCTGACATGGAAACTAAACACGAGATGTATACTAAGTTGAAACTAAACTCTTGACCCTTGTCGTCGATACCATGGAAAGGGTAGTCTGCTGTGGGAACTGCTCCATACGCACCTTTTCCTATCTCCTCTTTGTTAAACAATTTTGAAAAGTCATAAACCGGTAGTCCAGTGCAATCAACAGTTGTTCTTGGTTTGACAAGAGGCACTTTAAACTCCATAATCAAAGTTCTACTCAGCGCATCCTGACACGAGACTCAGCGAGACTGATCTAAAACTTGTGCAATAATTTAAAAAATTGCAAAGGTGTGAAAAAGGCAATGCGATCAGTGGTGAAAGTGTTAAAAAACAAATCTCACTCTTAAACCTTGTCTTCATTAGTGCTGCGTTTTTTATTATTCAGTGAGGCAGCGCAGCCGGTTGAAATAGATAAAAAGCATAAAAAAAATCAAATGGCATGTAACAAACAATAATATGTTTCAACTACAACAACGTGTAAGCAACGCATTAATATTCATACAAAATTTCAACTACAACAAAAGGAAAATCAATTTCCGTTAGTGTTTGCGGTTTTCTCACACCTGACTAGTCTTGTGTTTATAAAGGACAGACTGGTTTTAAGTTTTTGGGTGCTTTGTTTTCGAGTTTTGGGTGCTTTGTTTTCGAGATTTGGGTGCTTCGTTTTCGAGTTTAGGGTGCTTCGTTTTTGAGATTTGGGTGCTTCGTGCTCCAGTCTTCGTTTTCAAAACTACCTGAAATTAATATTGTTTGCTCATTTTGCTCATGCTATATAAAGTGTTCCTCAATACTTGAGATCCTGTCAATGCCCTTTCACTCCCTTTTAAGTTTTCCTCGAGTTGTCATAATTTTTCCTGTTGGCGGTCTATGTCCTGTTTTTTTAGTCTAATTTCATTTTGCTGGACGGCACGATTCATTTCAACTTCCATTTTTCCCTAGCTTCTTTCATACACTTATCCAGAGCTGCTCCTTCAACAAGTTCCTGCTACTCAAGAGCCGCAATCTCTCAGACCATTCTGATTCAACAAGGCCAGGTTTATTTTGCACAACTAGACTTTCTTCTTCACTTGCCGAAGTCTGATGACGTCAGCATACTTCGCTGTCCACCGAGCTATGCATAGTCCTGCTGGTAGAATTGGGTTCAATCGATAGCTGGTTTGCATTGAGGGAGGCGAAGAGAACACGTCTGCCATTCCCGCTGACTGCTGACCGCTATCGCTTGGAAGGGAGTTTTCTGGAGTGGCATGCGTATTTTCCTTTTCTCCCTTAGGTGTCTCTTTAGAACTAAGTAGATTTTGCAGCACTCCTTGGGTCTCCGTGAACTCACAATCACTCAATATCGTCCTGAAAGCCTTCAAGGCAGTTTGTTTTTGCAGGGTTAATTTGTTCACCCTTCTAGGTTTTGTCGGAGAACTTTTCGCTCTACTCTTTCCTCTTCTGGTCATCTTCTGTTTGAGAGCTATATAAGCACCAGTTAGGCTATAGCAGTGATTTAATTCCAACTGATGAGATACACTCAAAACCATAACAAACTCATAAAGAAGCGGTTCTAAAAGGAAAACAAAATTGTGATAACTACATGACACTGAAACAAATAAAATGAAATAAATGTGATGCAAACGAATACAAAACACAGAAGATACCTCAAACGGCAGGAGATCACCATGGAGATGTTAAGTGTTGGTAGCCTGTTGGCCGAGTGTTGGTAGACTGTTGAGAGTACGGATTGGTTCACTGATTAACAATTCAAAGTGCACTATTGGGTTGTTGGAAAATAAATGCTTAATGCTATTTGCATATGAATTACTATGACCCTTACCAAACATAATGATATGGGCCATGTATGGCCCAAGTATGGAAGTGGTATGACATGACCCATGGCCCTGACATGGGTAATATATGGAATTTGTATGGGATACTACATGCCATATCAAACCCATATGTGTTAACAGTCTTCATCAGTAAATGGTTCAATAGATTTTCACTATGGGATTGCTACGTATTTGGTAGCACCCCATACATTCCCCATAGTAAATAGCATGGGAATGATATGGCTCAGCCCCTTACCAATACCATATGTTTCCTGACTCTCTACTATGGAGATGATATATACTTGGCAGCTCCCCATACCATTCCCATATCATCAATCATACAGCCATCTGATATTCCCAATTCCCATATCATCTAGGCAGACTGGAGATCTGATATGGGAATGATATGGATACCCATGATTCTTGCTCCATAGTAATGCCATATGATGAATATTTGTGTGTGTTTCTTTGGTGAAAAGTTGAAATCCAAGTGTGTGGTGTTGGTTCTCAGCACGTATCCTTCCTGTTTCTTGAACAAAGCAATTAGGATCACAGATTCACATTCATTTCATTTCTTTAATTCACTTAAAACTATTTAATTCACACTTGCAAGCGAAATATATTACATGTTGTACCTTTTGAACTCTCAGTTTCTCGGAGATGTCAAAAACTGTAAAGACTTTTTGTGACAATCCAATAATATCGCTAGTAGAACATTTGATTTCCACAATATAATAACGTTTAAAATGGTATTGCATCATGAAAAGCTTAAGAAACAATCTGATCTTATCTAATACTGTTAAAAAAATTGAAAAAATTTTTAAAATGGTACAATGTTAAAAGGGTTGATACAAAATATCTGAGAAAATTTTCTTTTCTCGACTTCTCGGTGGCCTTCTTGCCTCCACACACTTCATGTTGATTTTTTACTCCACTTGGCTGGGTGTTGGCCCATCTCTTGAGAATTTAGAGCAGACTGTACCTAAAAAAGAGAGGTCGTTGATATTATTTGCTTTTAAAAGGGAATAATTTCACTGTTCACAATTTTTTTAAAAGGCCAGGTGATTTTGGATGTATTTTGGCCCACTACGCACCAGATTATAAAAAACAATGCCTGAAACAATTTGAAGCAATTCCATTCAATTGTTTTAGTGTAGAAGGTACCAAAATTAATAAAAATCATTAACTTTTACCAGTGAAAATTAATATATACTATCAACAGGCATTTTTTAAGATCCAAACTTCCTTGCTTCCAAAACAATGCCTAGTGCAAAACCTTTCATCCCTGAATGAGTCTTGCATGCTAACTAGCATGAGGAATAATGTCTTTCACAACAAAAACGTTTCCCCTTTACTCAAGATTGAGTTTCCCCAAACTCTGATGAGTGTTTCTAAAACATTATGGAAATTAGGAAGGAAAATATATGCTAAGAAAATGTTATATCTTTCCAGAAAGTTGTATTAAATATCTTCAATTAACCAATCAGCACAGGCACAGTATCTTGTTTAATTTATAATATAATACAATGAAAACTTACCAATAAGGGAATGGATGATGACAGGATTTTAAGGCTGATGGCCCGCTACATACATATACAGCATTCAAAGCGGGGTGCCTGTGGTGTATTCTCCCCTGGGGGAATTCCCCAAAATACCTTAACGGGTATGTGCCGCCCAATGGGGTTGTGATTTTGGGCACCCATTTTAGAGATGTTTCCTAGATAAATGGGGTTTAGTATTTCGAACTTGCAGAAGTTTCAAATTACCGGCAGCCAGAATGGGATGTTAAAACATTTTGAATGTTAATTCAATCTAAAACAGGGTGCTTCTTTGGAGAGGCACATACCCATAACAACATACCCTAGTCCCCCCCCCTCCCCCCACCGTGTATTTTATGGACACAAAACTAATCAAATGGAACAATGGGGCCACACAGGTTGACAAGTCCAGAGCAAACTTTGATAATCGGTCAATCATTGGTAGTTGGACCTCTGAATTCCCATGAGGATTACATGTTAAAAGATCAACTGTCAAGGTATTCTCTAAAATAGTGTACTTTCTACGTAAAAGTCCAATCACGTGACTCGCTCAACGTGAGTTCAATACCCCTTGTCTTTTCAACATCAATAGGGTCTAGTTGCTCTTTCCCTTTCGTAAACGCTGGAATCACAAGTTGTGGGTGCTTTAGGGCAACACCATCACGAATAGTGAACCCCCTGTCAGCCATAACTAAATCGTCAGGGCTTATAAGGAATAGGCTCCCTCAGTTAGATAATTAGAACAAAATATCATAATTACACATGGGAAAATCAATGGCAGAGCTACAGTAAATCTTAAATATATTAGATAGTCGTACTAATTATAGTTCTAGGCTTGTTCCTCCAAAGCTCTTCTCTCTCAGGCCACCTAATCGGTGGGGACAGCTGCACATCCATAATGAATAGCCAGTGTGCAAATGTCCTGGACACTGTTGCCTGGGATACTCCAAATCTATAGGCCAAGTCTAGGTGTGGAACATTTAGTCTTAATTTCATGAGAACCATGGTCATCTCTTGAAATAGAGAGAGGTACTCTGTTCGGCGTTTGACAGAAGGTGAAACATGAATAGAAGTGGCTTCTAGCACTTCGTATGTTGGCGGGCCTGTGTAGAATGACACTTTCGCGTTATCATCCCTAAAATAATTCTGCATGAAAGGCTTGCTTGTCGATGAATGGGTAAACAAGTAGCCAAACTCTTCTGTTTGAGTAGAGGCATCAGTGCGTCGACAGTCCTTAACAGAGGGAGACACGACAGACCGATATAAATGATCAAAAGCCTCTGTTTGTGTAGAGCAGTCATGTGTTAATTGCTCGTCTGGTTGCAAGTCTACTGTCTGCTCTTGAACTTGCTCTGCCTCTGAAGTATTCAAGCTTTCAATCTCAACAATCTCAGAAGCAAAGTCGGCAATGAGGACTCCAGGCCCCTTCAATTTCTGTAGCTTCAGTAAACGTTCCTGTTGTTGCAATTCCGCCTGTCGTTTTTGCCTTTCCTTCGACTTTCTCTGTGAGATCATTGTGGTGTATTGCTGAGATCCATTGTCATCTTGTTGGTGACTAGCACCCGTCCGCCATATTGGTATTTGGAACACCAACATGGCGGACGGAAATCGCAAGTTTTACTGGAAGTCACGTGAGTGCAAACCAAGAATAGCATCTACATATAGCGACCATCGATCCCTAGTTAATGATTATAAAATAACGCATATTGTAACATCCTCCGTCTCAAAGAAAGAAATCAAAAAACAACACAAAATTAATGTTCCTCATTAACTTGCAACTAAATCAAACAAACGTCCAACTTAATAGAATCATCAGAAATAATCATCATGTCCTAGCAAGAGTACAAGCTCAACAAAACAATAGGAATAAAATAAGTTCGTGAGTTAGTAATGAGCCATTCATGAACAAACATAGTCCTTTAAATACGCCGGGGATCTCCTGTCTCGCTGTGGTCTCTGATGATCAGTATCGCTCACGCAAGGGCTTGATTCCAAAGAATTATCGACCTGCCCAGCAGATGTGGTAGGAATGCTGGGTATATCTGGTTGAGACATCACATCTGATTTACTTGGAGGCTCTGTCGTTTTCTTAAGATGTTGCCTATTTCTCCTGTAGATGGTGCCATTCTTATAAGCCTCCACCGTGTACGATCACTCATCTAACCTTGTTGTTACCTGGGCCTTCGGCCACAATTAAGCACTTAATTCAAAAGGCTTCATTCGCACTACATCGCCCTCACTCAGTGTTGGCAATTCCTTTGTGGTTCTGTTGTAGTATTTGGCTTGAAGTTGTTGACGCTCCTTTAGTTGGCTTTTCTCAACACGAGGTGGGTTTGTTTTTGGCATCAGAAGGTTCTGTGTAGTAGGGATAAGCGTTTTGGTCCTTCTGCCCATCTGCCGCTGTGCAGGACTTGTAGTCATCGCTTGCATGGGAGTGTTCCTGTAATCCGGGAAAGCCAGGTATGGATCCATTCCAGCACTGATCGATTTCCGCAAGAGACGCTTGGCTGTCTTTACGCCAGACTGTTTACTGTTTCCGGTACACTGGGTAGATGATCAAATTCCCAGGTTTTCGCAAATGTGGCAAACTCCATCGATGCGAATTGGGGGCCAATGTCGCTCACTACTTGGTCCGGTATTCCAAAGCGGGCGAAGTCACTCTTCAGCTTTAGTACTACCGTACTTGCGTTCTTGTCAAGTAGTCTGTCTACCTTCCAAAAGTTGCTACAGTAGTCGATGGTAATCAAATATTCTTTGCCATCCAGGAAAAAGATATGAGTGCCAACCCTCTCCCATGGGCAAGACGGGACTTCATGGCTCATCAAAGGCTCATTGGGTTGCGAGGATGTATCAAGCTCTCTACAGATTTCACATTCTGAGATGTATTGCTTGATCTCAGCCGACGTTCCGGGCCAGTATATGCATTCACGGGCTCTTCTTAGACATGACTCTGTTCCCAGGTGAGAGGAGTGAATCCTTGCTTTCATGTCCGCATGAAGACTCCTAGGGATCACAAAAGGACTTGCTTTAAAAATCAGACCATCTTGAAGCGTCAACTCATCCCGCATATCAACAGTCTGAGAGAAGAAACCAAAGAGTCTGACGAAAGCGACAGAGAGTATATCACAAGCATCACAGACAGGCGAGAAGTGGTACAGGCCATTAAAAACGAAAGTTACCCGAAGGAGATCTACACTGAAATGGTTGTCGCAAAGAAACCCGTGAAATTTCAAGTTGATAGTGGTACTTCGGTTAATGTTATTCCAGCCACGTTGGCCCCAGATGAGCCACTAAAGCGTACAACAAAGATGCTTCGCTACCATTCTTCAAAACCCGAAGAACAATCAATAGCATCTATATACAGCGACATTCGATCCCTAGTTAATGATTATAAAATCACGTAACTATAAATACATGCACACTGTAACAAAAATCACACCTTTTATTTGGATTTGGCTGATTTTCTGAAGCATACCCTAAAGGAAGCACTTTAAGTTTCATTTGTCCTTTGCCAAAAACATTTGGCAGAGGTACAGTTTTGTTTTTTCCTGTTCAAGTGAAAGAGAAATTGTTGGGAAATTTTGATATGTTGGAAAAAAAGTGCTTTCGTGAAAACACAGAATAATTATTTCCTGCAAAGTAGTTTCGAAAGTTGCTTTGAGCTTGTCTGCCCTGAAATGTAGCCTTTGCGGTCTCCTGCATTTTTTCTGAATTGTCATGATCATTTGTCTTTGATCTGATATGTGTGCATTCTCCAGAGGATATTCATCAAAGATGACCAAGTTCTTCCAGATCAGTTGGTAGAGTTAATGGTTGTTCTTCCTCCAGTATGTGACCATGGCTAACCAAATAAGGGGGGCTTTATTGTAGTGATATTTCTGCAAGCAAGTAAACCACACCCACACCCACACCCTGATCATGAATAATAGAAAGACTGGATAGGAAACTTATGTCACGTGGGCTGATTTCTAATCGCCGTTTGGTTGGTTCGTGCTTCAAGATGGCGTTGAATGGTTCCATCATAGTGGAAATTTGTGACGAAACAATGGCGAAAATGTGTCGCAGACAAGTCTAGATGTAGCGTTTGTTTCCCTGCATGTTGTTCTTTTTCGGAGTTTTTAGTGTTACTTTAATTTTTGGTGTTTGTTTTTCCCTTCGTTTGTTGTCTTATGGCGATGGCGGCCCTTCAAAGCCACACTTGAACCTTCGAGGTAAGCACTTCTTGTTGTTGTTTTGTGTTATTTGTCCTTGTCTTTGAGAAAATTTCGTCCCAAAGTTGACCTTACAGAGCCATATTTACTAGACTTGTCGACTATTTTGGGACGCCTTTATTTAGAAGGTTCCTCCTTGTTTCTATTCGTAACTACGATTGACAGATGTTTTAAGGATGGAATTGTGGCATAGGCATAGTTACAGACGGAGTGCTTTTATTTTCCAGCCTTACATTTCGATTGAAAATGACCAAAAGTAACTACACTCGGAGCTAATCGGTAGACTTGTTTGTGTTGAGAACTGCTTCGCTCAATGAACCCCGCTAATTGTTCCTAAAACAGTATGTTAATTTCGCTCATCTTTTTATGTTGAAATATAACTTCTAAATTACATTTCCAGTGAATACAATCGCCTCGCGTCACTCCTCGCAATTCGACAGAACCATTCTGTATTAGCATAATGGCATCAATAAGCAATTAAGGCTGTATTATTAGAAAGCTAAATATGGTGTAGGAAACTGAAAATTTGTTTACTGCATGAAAAGAAGAGATCATCACCTGGTACGTTCTCAAAATTGTTGCCTTGGGATGTCTCCTGTTTAATTCTCTTTGGCAAAGCCAAGAATTGAATGTTTCATACGCGAACATCCAAGTACTGTGCACTGGGCCAAATTGCCCTATTCCTTCTGGTATGTGTTGTAGAATATGATTTGTCACCACCTTTAAAAACCATGAAGGTAACCAAATTACAAAATTAAGAAAAGACTGAAAGGATGAATCAGACTGGGATATGGTGGATATGGATCAGCAATAATAACATTATAAGGACTTGAAAATACGTGTACATGGCTGAATGCAACCAACCTCAAACACCTACAACAGGGCTGATCCTACATGTGGCCATACACAGGATGAATGAATGTACCTGTTGTGGTTCACTTTTATCCTTAGTGTAAGTTTTATTCTCATTTGTTTTTGGGTATGGTAGTGTATGATAATGAATTTAAAACAACAGTGGATGAAATTCAAACCAAAAATAAAACTGAAACACGACATCACATAATAGATATGTGGGGTATACTGTAGCCTGCCATGAATGTCCGATGCATTATAACCAGTTTCCCAGTGGTTATAGTGTCCAAGTATTTAAATTCAGTAAAAACTAAACTGTTTAAGGGAACATTTTTCGATATGGGATAAAGCACAGTGGAGAAGCTTGAGAATGAAGAACTAGCCTAATATAATAAGATTATAAGGACTTCAATTTTCATTTGGGTAAACTAACTTGAATGGTTCTTCTGTTCCCGACGAGTCCTCTCCTGCTGCTTTTTCTAAGTCCAATTACAATGCATGAATTGTATGCAAAAATGGATTAAATCAATTAAATTACTGTTCTTTTCTTCACAATGGGCTCAGGTAAACTAAATAATAAATTATACATCTTTTCTCAAAGTAATTATCTTGTATAATGTGAAAGTATACTTGAAGTGACAATGGGAAATCCCTCTCCAGTCGTGCAAGAGCTGTTTGAACTTGCTCCTTCAGTGACTCAATTTTTGATCGATCCTGGGTAGGAGCACATAACGCAGCAATGGAATTCACGAGCAGAATCAAACTTTCCTGCTGACGATCTCCCAGCATACCCCTGACACAGTATTTTAGTATGCCCCGGGCTGCAACCTACAGCAATAATAAATGAGACATACATGTAAATTGCAGATACGTTTTAAGTATAGAAGATTATTATTGTTATTGACATGACCATGATGTAAACAATCTGCTGATTGCAGTGATTATAACTTTGCCACCAAGGTACTGTCCTATGTAGAATCCTAACAACTAGTAACAAACTCTCCATTTAAATAAAAACTCTTATTCCAATAGTTAAACTGGTATTAAAAAATTCAAGTGAACAAATGGCACATATAATACACCACAGGAAATTGAAGTTGGAACTCAAATTCCAGAGACGTAGTTGCAGGCTCTCCTTTCTTTTCCCGCCACTCCACCAGAGCGCCTCTGAGAGACTGCTTGCAGGCTAGCCATTTCATTATGGCTTGAATACAAATGTGCATGTTAACAAAGCAACAACAACAAATTGTGAGAACAAAAATGGCGGACATTTGACTTCTTTCAAGAGTAAGAACTAGGTGAAATAATCAGCTGAATAATAGCCAAAGGCATGGCGAGAACAGCAAGAAGAGAACTCGAAGGGCGAAATCTGCTATGTGGAGAATATTTTCGTAGCTGCACAACCCTAAACGTGCCCTATAGAAGATGAACTTAACATTGATGGAGGTAAGTATGTTTTGGGTATGTTGTTAACCTAGGAATTATTGTGAATGAGTAATAAAACAATATTATTGAATTTGGCTTTCTTATCAT